ATTTTGTGGGTGGTTCTGATAACAATCGTTAGGAGTTTTTCTAAGTAGGTTCATTTGCACGGTGTCCTATAATTTATTACCTTAGCCAATGTAATCTCATTTATTTTTAATGGGTTCCATCCATCAATAAACTATCTTTCTTCATAATTGTGCTGAATGTCTTGTATCTTTTCTCTACTGCATCATTTTTGACAAGATGTGACACAGCTTTCCTCGGTTCCATTATTGTATTTGGGACACGTTCCCCTTTTGAACGCCTTTTTATTTACTTCTTACTCATTAAAAAAAAAAAAAAAAGATTTGACACAGCTTTGTAATTATATTCCTTTGTGACAGATATTGTCACAGAGCTCCATAATTATTAAAAAAATTAAATGAACAAGGCTGTTGAAATATAAATCTTTTTTAAAGTTATCATGTATATTTTATAGGTTTGGTGAACTTGCACCACTGGAGAGTCAACTAGCAAATTTTAAGAGGGGATAAAATGGTTACGTGAGATAATTTTGATAAATGATTGTATTCCATTATTTTCTACAGCTTCTCCATATCTTAATATTGTCATGTTCCTTTTGTAGGATGGAGGATCTGATGCTGCTTTTGTGACTAAGCCCTTAGCCTTGAACAAGATTTAGAGACCTGTAGTTGTTTTTTGATGTGTTGTAAATATATTAATGTTAGTTTATGAGGGCTTATTTTATTATATGTGAACTTTTACTAATTTAGGATTCACAATATTGAACTTACTAGATTTTGGTGTTTTTGTCTATGGACAGTGGTATTATGTAATGACATGTGGACTTATTAGCTTTTGGTCAATTTGTGATAATGTCATAATATGTACTGGCTAATATCTTCAACTATTTCAACAGTGAAAAAGTTAAGGTCATTTAAATTGTTATTATAGCAACCCGAAATCTCAGACCCAGTTGCATGTCCGAATTCAACCAGAAATTTCAACCCAAGTTGCAAGCTGGAATTCAACCCAAGCTTAAAATTTAAGGATGGGTAGGGATCGACTTGATTAGCTCAGGTTGAAGGTCAAGTTAGGGTTGAAAATTCCGTATGTCAGGTTGAGCCCAAGTTGTACTCCCAATCCGTCTGAGTTGCAGCCCTAACAAAAGACTAACACTTGAAGATTTCAATCAATTGAAATATGATCACGATGTTCAAAGTATAGCCATGCATTTCTAAAACCGCCTATATAAGCGCCACTTATCCTAGAATATTCAAATGAGAGAACCATTCCCAAGTACTTGTTGAGCATTTTTGAGTAAAATTTGATCTTCGACCAGCTAAAACTTACATGAGCTTCAGCTTCACAACTTTTTACCAGGTAGACTAAGCCAAAGTCGCCCTATCCCTGTCCCACCCTATGCTTACAAGAAGGAGATAAGTCTTGGATGAGTGTTAAAACATCTTTAAAGGGACAATGAATGAGCTAAATTAGTATCATCCCCTAACTAATAATGCTGATTCTAAAGAAACAATGTAATGAGTCTATCTAACGTCACAGGCCTAGAGTTTCTCCACTACTCCAGCCACACTCATGTGGCACCAAGGCGTTGTACCTCTTCACAACAAGACCTTGGTCAGTCTCACTCCCGCACTCACTCGTGCCAACACATTCTTGTCGTAGTGTCTCACGCCCTCCACTCAGCTCACGGGCGCGCACGCACTTACCGGCAATCCCCTACTTAAATCTTAAGTTGTAATGTGCCAAAGTCTAGTTTCATTCGAGTACAACCGTTAAAGACAAGGTCTTGGTAGATAAGAGAGATTTATAGGATCTATTTCCATTGATCTTGGTGAGGCCCAAAATTTTATTCTAAACGTCTTTTTGGAAAATGACTTTTCAAAGCTAACATTTTAAACAATTTTCATAACTATATTTTGAGCTGAACACCAAAATGCATCAATTGATAGGTAACTCCTAAGGTTGGCAATTGAAAGGGAAATAGATTGAACCCTTTAGACCTATTTAATAGTAGTAGAGTGGACAATCACTAGAACAGCAGATTCGTAAGGAAGGAAGTGTGTTGACGAGCAGACAGATGAATGGCATAAAGACTTGAGTGGAAGTTTTCAATTCAGTCTATGTCAAGAGGTAACTAGGAGTTCGAGGTAATAGGAACTATCAACCTAGTTGTAACTTCGTTCTCGTATAATGGATTGTGCCTGACTAGACAAGGTCCCATGACTTTTCCCATTCTAATTCTATCATCGAAGAGGAAGGTTCATTGTTATTAAAGGCACAACACACAAAGATGCTAGAGTGGCTTGGAGTCTTAGCACGAGAGGCAACATAAGGTGCAAGCCTGACCAGATTAAGGGGCATGTTTGACAGAACACATGAATTCTCTCTCTCCATTTTTTTCCTATTACATGTCATTTCACCTGTTATGTCTTATTTTTGGTCACCCCCTCCGTCTCTTACCTTCTATGAAAACAAGTTTTCCTCGTCTGTCTAACTAGCGCATCCATAGGTCTCCATTGTATGTGTCCAAACAATCTAAGACTATGCTCTATAACTTTCTTGCTGATGGGTGCCACTCCTAATTTTTCTCTTACACTTTCATTCATGATCCTATCTCTTCCAGTCACTCCAACCATCCAACTTAGCATTCTCATTTCCGCTACATAAAGGTGTTGTTCTTGTTTCTTTTTTAAAACCCAACACTCTGCTTCATATAGTATAGTTGGTCTAATAACAGTCCTATACAATTTTCCTTTTAACCTATGTGTTATTCTTTATCACATAAAATTCCACTAGCTTGTCTCCATTTTGTCCACACTACTGCAATTCTACTAGTTATATTACTATTTATCTCTCCATCCTTTTGTATTATTGATCCTAAATAGCGGAAGTGGTTATTGTGAGTTACCTTTTGGTTTTGAAGTGTAATCTATATTATCAAGATCTAAATCTTTATTAAATTTACACTCCATGTACTCTGTCTTAATTCAACCAATTCTCAATCCTTTCGATTCTAGAGCATCTCTCTACATTTCTACTTTTCTTACTAAGTTTCTCTTTAGAGTTATCTGATAACACAATATTATCGGCAAACATCACGCACCATGGAATTTCATTTTGGAAGTCTTTTGTTATTTTATCTAAAATTATTGCAAATAAATATGGGCTTGGCACAAATCCTTGGTACAGTCCCGCATTTATGGAGAATCACTAGTTTCATCACACATGGTATGAACTCTAGATTTCGTGTGCTTATACATATCTTGGATACTCTTTATGATTTGTAAAAGTGTTTGTTTTCTTAGTAGAGCCTTAATTTATACCTCTTGGAACCCTATCATACGCTTTTTCTAAGTCTATAAAAACCATATGTAGATCTTTTTGCTTACTCCAAAGCTCTTAAACTAATTGTCTAGTTAAGTATATAGATTCCATTGTTGATCTCCCCACATGAATCTGAATTCGTTATCATATATCGTGATTTCCTTCCTCATCTAGAAAAACAATTTTGTTGAAATCAAATGATGGAAAATTTTAGTATACAGGGCTAGCTAGTTATTATCCAATAAAAACAATTTAAATAAAACAACATATAATAGTCAATTAAATCAACTCAGTGGATTAGATATAGTGATGCATATATATCCTTTCAGTCAGTAGATATGTCAACAAAATCAAATACCATTGCAAATGTATAATAACAGAATGCCATAATCGTATAGGTTGAAAGAAAAATACATTATACTATCATGAATAGTAAGAATCAAACTTGTGAAATTAAATGCAAGTAGCAATCTATAAATCCATGAAAATTGGATACCAAATATCAATTTTTTCAAGCAATATGATGTATTGAACAAGACCATGATATAATATAGAGCATATCAATTCACTGTGATTAGAAAAAAACAAAAAGAATAATTATATAATTGAATAATTAAAAAAAAAGGAATAGAGTGCAACTTTCAACTTTATGTGTGCTTCAGAACAAGCCTACTTAAGGTTAAAGAGGCTGGCACCTTTTGGGGACTTAGACCAAACTTCTACATTTTCTGAGTGTTCTTGACCATAAAATCTGTAAGGTTTTATTTACCACATCTTTTCCATTGTCCTTGACCCATTGTTTCCCTTGTTCAACTTTGATAGAGTTAAAAATGCTATAGCATACTTCTGCTAGATGGTCAGCTACAGATGTAAATTGTAACCATTGCATAAAAACATGGGTTCTGCCCTCAATGATGATATACATTGTTCTCCCATTCACTCCATGTAACATGGTATTAGAACCTTTTTGAGTTATTCCATTTCGAAATTTTATTCTTGATGCCTGTAACATTTGTTCTTAATTTCAAGCATTGGATCCTTCTGCATTTTCATAGCACTTTATTGATATCTTTTCTCTAACATAGTTGCTTGAATCTCTTTGGATCCTGGCAGATTCTAATTGAAGTTCCCTTTGGATTTACGTGAAGCATTGGGGATCTAAGCAAACTTTGGATATTTTAATTTATTTCTTCCAAATGATCCATCCGTCAAGTCTAATTTTTTAAAGACTGATTGATTAAATCAATATCTTAATTACTTCTTCATAGCTTGGGATGTACTGAATAGTATTATTGATCTAAGCCATTTTCGTTTGTTTCCCCTTTACAAGTATTCCTTAACAAGATCCAATCTACAACCAATTTGCCTCCAACATGTTGAACTCTCAGTTTGTTTCATGCTTGTATTGCTAATATGTCTATCTGTTCCATGATGTAATGCCTCAACTAAACTGTCAGTTTTGAATACTTCATCCCAATACCTAAAATAAGAGGAAAACCACTATTAACATAGAGATTTCACATTGATAACTTCTACCTGTGTAAAATACTTTGTTCCAACACAACATAGCCTAAAGATAAGATCCTTGCAAATCGGGAAGACCCTTACACTTAACAAATGATGTACCATAGCAACAGAGAGAAGAGCACTACACAATATAACAAGCGGAACTAGGCAACAAGAAAGCAAAAATTACTACCAGAAGCTCCAATTCGATTAAGAAAAACCAATGTAGCAATCACCATCCCAGTTGTAGTTCGTCCACGCCCCATTTGGCAATTAAAAATTATCTCTGTATTTATATCAGCTTGAGAAATTCTATTAACCTAAAAAAATAAAATAAAATAAAATAAAAAACAGAGAGAAAAACAATGACATATCTGCAGACATGTTATAGCAGCAGTAAGAATGTAGACTATACTCAATAACTACCACATAAGACTAATAACCATGCCAAGCATCATATATATGCAAAATGTACTTTGCAAACATAGTTGCATGTCCCACAATCAAATTAAATGTTATGCAGGCACTGGGAGTGTTGATAACAATTTTCAGTATTATAGCCATGCCAGTGGCTAATGTGGCAGGACTTTAGTTCCCTTCCTGTTAAAGAATTATATCAAACAAAAGACTTGGATACAGGTTGTTTCTTCCCTGAAAAACATGCTTTGTCAGCATGAAAGAAAATGTGATTTCAGACTGACCATATAATTGGTCCTGCTTAGCAAAGCTTTTGCACAAAAATCCGATCTCAATTTGATGACTTTAGCATCAGACTTCAATCAAAGTAACCAGATTTTTTTGAAGAAATATTTTTTAGAATGATTTGGAGAAGTCAAATTCAAATTAGTTGGTTAAACTAAGAAAATCCACCTTAGTTTGGTGCACCTAACACACGAATATGGACTCAAAAATTGGTGCTTTGAGATCATTTCTCAAGTTGTTGACATGGCCTAAGAACCAAGAAACTGAGTGCACCTTTCAATTCTTACACACGGGCACACACATTGCAAAGACCCTCTATCATTTTTACAACACATATTACTCTCCTTCCTCTTGTCTCTTTGTTGTCGCTCTTTCTCTCTAAATATCGAAAAGATATGCACATACAAATCTAGGGATCAAGATGGACAAAACCAGAGAAAGAGATTGGAGGAGAAAACAAATAGAGCGCACGTCTTTTGTTTTGCCAGAGAGAGAGAGAGAGAGAGAGAGAGACATTGGAGGATTGGAAGTTAGTGAAGCTGTCAATCTACCATAACATAGTAAAAGATGAATTTGAGATTATTAGAAGTTGGTGTTACAGAATTCGTAACAAATGTGTCTATAATTTTTGTTATGCTTTCAAGACTTGGTTCACTTAAAGAGTTATTATTTACCCCGGATCCATGGATTATGGAGACAATGTATTTGAAGATCAAAAGGGTAAAAAGGTAATTCCACCTTTGAAATAAACGTAGATAACTATGGAATTCTTGGGTTAGAGTCTGATTAACCTAGTTGTAAACATTTCTTCTGACTAATGGTTTTGATCAGTGTGGATTAAAGTCAAGCGATTTTTCCCATGTTAAAAAGGGTAGTTGCTTGGTTTATTTATTTTTCTCTACATTTTGAATAATTTCTATAGGAATGTTTGGCCTAAATTTTTAGAATTTAAAAATCAATTGCTGTTAATTAAAAAGCTGAAAAAGAATTATTCAGTACTCTTTTAATAGGGCATAGCAGTCAGACTGCCAAAGCCTTGGGTTATGATCCTTTACCATTCAATTGTCATCATACCATAAACAACAGATACGTAGATCCGTATATTTTTGGCGAAAAGATATTATAGCATTTTAAAATAAAATAAAAAATAGAATTTAGAGTTTTTTTAGTCTCACTATTTTTCAACAATTTTAAGTTTCGCATTCAATATTTTGTTTATCCTTTTAAACTAAGAAAGAATCTCTTCTAAAATAAGTGAAATTTTTGGAAACTGAATTTGATCAAGTCATAAAATTTAAAAAGTCTCTTGAATTTAGCATTGAAAAACTTGCAATTGTATTAGAGAAATCTAATGGGACTATATGAAAACTTCACTAGTGAAGCTAAAAAATTAGATAAATTGTTAGGGATGAACAAGAGGTTTAGGATTTCTTCTTACATCTAATACACCTTCTACCACTAAATACTAATACTAAGATTGGAAATTTAAAATAAGTCCTTAGAACTTTAAATTCTCCTAAGCCTCAAAAAATTTATCATTGCCCATATTGTAAAAAGGAGTGTCACGCTAAGTTTAGGTTTTCAACAAACAAGAGATGTTTTGCATAAAATGAAAAACTTGATAACTCAGAGGAAAGAAAAATACACGTGAAAAAAAATGCTAACGGAAATCATGAAATGAATAAATCGTCTCAAAAGGCTTTAGTTTTGAAGATTAAATTTTCAAAAGCTCAAAAACTTGAGCTCGATTGATTGGGGTTAAACTACTTTGGATACTCTCTAAAATCAGAAATTTATGCTCTGTTTGTTTCGACACAAAATGCTTTTAGGAATTTTTTTTTATAAATTGTAGGACCATTCTCCAAGGCTCTAGCACTCCAATTAGGTGATCTGGTTGATCAATCTTCAAGTATTCAAATGAAACTCCTATAATTGCGTAGTTTTGAATCATATATTATGCCTATGTTTAGAGAACCCTAAAGCACATTTTATAGTTGTTCGAGCGATTACAAATTAATTAGGAATGTTTTTTATGAGTTGTAGAAAGTTTGGAAACCTTTTCAAACCTGGAAATGTGTCTTTTACCGACACTGGGTGTCTGTGATTAGCCGATAAAGGTTTTCCTGGATCGAGCTATGATCGACATTCAGCTTTGATCGATCCACCTTTAATGCTAAACCTGACTACACAAAGCCCAACTTTGGACACTTTGTTTTGAGGCCAAACAGACTTGAAATTAGGTATATAATATATCATCGGAATGAGGTTTCTGCATATATAAAGCTCATCAAAAAATTCACAGTATTTTATTTTGATGAATTTTTGAAGACACGTATCAATTTTAACAACTAGAAATCCACAGTGAAAACAACTTTTAAATTGGTTTTCAACTTAAACTCAATATAAGTTTTCTAACCAGTATTAAGATTTCCAAATTCATTCCCAATAAAACAATATTAAATTTTAAATTATAAATTATATTAAAATATTAAAGCAGTTTTTATTTTTTAATAGTAAAGATTGTATAAAAAGCATTCAAAAGGGGAACACATCCCTCAAAAGCTACACAAGGCCAAATAGGGTCTCTAAACCCTCAGACTCCAAAAGATCTACAAGTTCCTCTGCATTTATGGGGCCAGAATCTTTTTAAGGCATCGGTGATATCTGCGGTGGTTTTCGGGCAGTTGAGGCTTTTGAATTTTGTGAAACTGAAAGGATTGTGCTAACAGTCGACAGAGGAGGGGAAATTCTGACGTCCATCATTGCGGAAGACAGCCAAGGGATTTAAGATTGCATTGCATGAAGAAATTGATCCCTTGATGGTTCCTAAGTCTGGTTCCCTCTTCAGAAAAGAGAATTCCTTACCGATTGTGGAGGAGATGGGTCTGAGACGCAGAGATTGTCGTCATGGGGTTCGATCAGGGGGCAGGAGAACAATGTGGTTGATGGACAGGGACGATTATGCACTCAAGTGCGTGAGGAACGAGTGAAAAGTTTGCAGACTAGTCCACTATGTGTCCGCCATCTGGAATCTTCCCGTTTTAAAGCCTCTTTCTGATCGTATCAGTCATCCTTTGGAGGATCCCTCATTTAGGTCTCAGATTTCTCTCACTCCTCATTCAAACGCTGTCAAGAAAGGAAAACCAAAAACGCTTTCACAAATATTCTAATTCGGGTAAGTCCTTTCTCCCAGATGCCCCGAGCTTCTCTTCTGCTCTTCCTTCATCTTCTACCCCTTCTTGTGGTATGTCGTTGTTGAATGATTTGGGGTTAGAGGAGGGAGGCTTGGGTTTGGTTTCTAGAAGGCTATCTCTTGTGTTTGAGGCTGTGTCAGAGCAACGTTTTGTGGATGATTCTGAGGTGGCATCAGAGGGGTCTCGGCGTCCTGGGAAGACGGATGGTGGATGGGTTCCCAACTCCCAGTGGAGGGAGGTTTGGGAATGTTTCTATTCATGTGGGTCACAATGTTCAGATTCGACTATGCAATGATTCTGATGCTGCTGTGATTAAGGATCTTCGGCTTCATAAGGCCCTTAAAGAGCTGAACTGCTTTCCTTTGCATGGGACAGATGCCATTGATGCTGTTTCAGTTGATGCTTTTGGTACTCCTCAGGAAGGCAGTTTCTCCTCGGTTTCCGCTTTTTGATGAGTGGGATGGTGTGTCGTCATCTTCTAGGGAAGGGGAGTTGGGGATTGTACCTAAGGGATGTAGTGCGACAGTGAAAGATGATTTGTTGTGTCCTTTGGCTATGGTGGAACCAGAGGAGGGTTGGGCTGGGTTGAGGGAGCTGATGGTAGGAATGGGGCTGGTGAGTTCACTGAAATTATGAGGCACAAGTGGATGAGGGAGAATGCAGGTTATGTGGGCAACCTTATTGGTGTGCCTAGTGTAGAGGGATGACAGGCCGTGTGCATGTTTCACGACATTGAGACAAGCCAAAAGGTGGAAGGAAGGGTAGGATTCCTTCGAAAAAAAGGGAGAGAGTGGGGAGGAATCTCATCTCATATGTTAACTACGAAGGAAAGAGATGGGGGTTGAGGGAGAGGGGTAGAGGGAGGAGGAGGGGGAAGGAATTTCTACTGCTTGCCTATGAAGCTATGTGTTATCTTATGGAACGTCCGTGGTCTAAATGATCTGGACAGAAGGAGGGTGGTGAAGTTGGCGATTCGGAAATGGGATCCGCATGTGGTGTGTTTGCAAAAAACGAAGTTGGCTTCGTCCTCAGATATGGTTGTGAGGAGTCTTTAGGGCGGGAAATTTGTGGATTGGGCTTCTTTGGATGCTTTGGGGTCTTTAGGTGGCATTCTTGTGATGTGAGACAAACAATGGGTTTCTAAGCTGGATTTCTGGATTGGCAGATTCTCGGTGACTTATGCTTTTTTCTTTGGAGGGAGATGGCTTCCATTGGATCTTTTCGGGAGTCTATGGTCCTAATGATGATGATAGACGGCACTTGATGTGGGAGGAGCTTGATTTGGTGCGGCATACATGGCCTCGTCCTTGGTGTATTGGAGGGGACATTAATATCATTCATTCTCCATTTGAAAGGTCAATTAGGGGTCGGTGGACTATGTCGATGGAGCAGTTCTTTTTTTTCATTGATGAACATAAAATGAT